GAACGTGCAGCACAAAGCATTCTGTGATTGCCTTCAGCTGCTGAATAACACTGGTGAACAGTGATAAACAAACACCTTCACTATCAGATTTCTCAAAATGTACACCGTCTCTGCCAAGGATCAGGCCAAAATTGGTTCAGTTGTTTGCTGTCAGTCATACAATTCTTCCATATCTGGCCAGGCCCTCTTGGGAGCAGGGGTTGCACCATTGTTACTGCCTTGCTGTGCTTCTCTTGAAAGAAATGGGGCTTTTTTCTACTCATATTTTTTTTAATCTTCCGGTTCCTTGAGTCCCACCATAATGGAAGGTTTCAGCTCTTGCTTTAAATACTATCCCTCCTCTCATGCTAAAAAAAGTATGGGCTCCATTAACAAATTATAACTACAATGACTTTAAATCCCATGGAGATTGAAATAGACATTTAAACTTATCACAACTCCAAGAAAACCTTCTTAATGTGTAGGCTGGTGGTAGCAGGCTCTGTTGCAGCCTGCTCGGCTATGCAGAGCTCCCTCCTGTCAAGGAATATGGGACAGTAAAAAAAAAAGCTCAGATAATTCAAGCTTTGTCTTCACAAACTGGATTTCAAAAGAAGGACTCTGGGGTGTGCTCAGAGCTTACTGCTACTGCCCTCACACCTTCAGTGCCCTCTGTGAATCCCCTCCCAACACTGAACACAGTGGGAAGAGTTTTGTGCTTCTATAACTGGGACAGACAAAACTATATAAGGAAAAGCTGTTGCTTTACCTTCCTCCTCCCCACACAGAGGGCTCTGAAACTGGCTTTCCATTGGCCCTGATGCTTCCCTCTGAAGTCTCGGGGCAGTCACCAGCAGTGCTGCAGTCAGGTGTCAGCAGCTGGGCTGGCCTGGCTGCTGCTTCCACCAAGCTCTCATTGGTGGCTCCTTTTCATCAGGGAAGCAAAGCAGTAGAGCCCAGCCCTAACAAGGGGCAGTGTTTGCTTCTGTGTCACACCTGCAGACTTTGTGAAGAGGCTGGCAGGTCTGCCTCCTGCCCACAGCCCATGGATAGTGGTGAAACAGCTCATGGCCAGTTAGCAAAGACTGACAACCCTGTTTGTTAGCAATTTATAATTCTGCATTTATCTCCCTCTGCTGCCTTTTCTGTGCCTTCCCCTAGTGAGGTGGGTCTGCACTGAAGTGCCAGCAATGTGAATGGAGTCAGCACAGGATGCTGCAGAGCCAGGGGTACCTCACAGAGCTCCCCCTCCTCAGCCTGTCCTGGAAGAAGTCAAAATGTCCCATGTCCAGTTGACCAGGAAAGCAGATGCTAGGCTGGAGTTCACAATGGACAATAATAATTAGTTTGATTCTTCTTACAGAAAGTTTATTTTAAAAATAAAAGAGACTAATTGCATTTTCTCAGAAGTCAAGCACAGCAAGATAGCTTGTGATATGAGAAGTGACATTACCTTTTCAATCCTTTTTAGCAGCTCAGGTGGAGATGGGTCCTTCCCTCCCATTTCTTGCTTTCTGCTCTCATTTGTGGCATCACCATAGTTTTCCTCCAGCTTTTTAATCTTGTCCCTGCACTGGGAATACTAGCAAACAAAGAGACTCAAGAGTTATTTATTCCCACCAAGCTCATCCCCAGACCTTGGTCTGGAGACTTCAACAGACAAGGATTCCTTTTACTGGGAAGGAGGGTGGGTAACACAAAATTATGAGCCA